GTATGTATGTATGTACGTATGTATGTATGTATGTATGTATGTGGGAGTTCAAACGAGAACTCCCGTGATTTACGAGAACAATCTATAAACTAAACATTGTGTTTTATATCACAATTTAAGAGAAGTTAAGGGATTTTTCTAAATTTAAATTAATATTAAAAAAATCAAAAATATTTAAGACTTGGAAGGGTAAAATTGGAATTTGAAATGATAACTTTCAAATAATACGATCACAATTATTCTGATCATCGAGGAAGGGATAATCAACTTCGACGGTGGTTATTAAGCAATAGTAGGCCAGTATAATGGTAAACCGAAACAAAGAAGTCACATGTTACAAATGGTTTCAGATTGGTCCATATAGGACTATAGGTTTGTATAGTTAACACCAAATATTTGGTTAACAAATACTTGTTTTTTTACATTTTCAATACGTGATTTAACATGATTCTGACATAAAAAGAGGTGCACATAGTATTCCTTGTTAAACATCTGAAATAATAACCGACATATAAAGATATCTAAAAACATGCCTAAAATGTCATTTTACAAAGTCTAGCGGTATTTTTTGTAATCATCATAAAACTGAATAACTCATACTAAAAATATCAAATATCAAAGTTTGGGTGCATTTATGTAATTTAGAGAATATTAAGTTCTAAAGTTTTAGGCTAAATGTGAAACTTACAAACTACAAGGACTGTTTTGAACAAATTTGAAAATATTTTAGTATTAAAATAAATAATAACAATGACATTAATAATATTTTGATTTATTTGTTATTTATTACTATTCTCGTTGTTATAATTGTTTTAAATAGTCCAAAAACACATCGGCCAAAGTGAACTGTACGTAGGGCTAACAAACGCCAACGACCTAATTCCAAAACAAAACGTATTATACCCATATTTTGTATTAAGCCAAAATACTTCATTTTACCAGCTTTTTGGTTCGTTCTTTTAGTATATTCTCATAGGCACTAACATTTTTAACTTTTTGGGCTGTCACAACGATTGTTGGTTTGAAGTTGGAGTTCATACAACCATTTTTCACAAACGAAAAAAAAAGACTTCATGTAAGTAGCAACTTCATATCTCCATATCGTATGATAGGTGAATCTGGTTTATGCTTAATAATGAACTGTGTTGGGTCACCGATGATTTGTTGATCTACCTCTATTCAATCTTTGTACGTTTAGTGGTTCTTTGTAAAAGTTTGGTTGTGCTTAACAAGTTCGGTGAATCAAAGACCAAGCCGATTTTCAAGGAAGTGTTTGCTGATGTGGAACAAGAAGATACAACTCCTGGTTTGATACCAAACTTTTCTCCTAACCTTCTCTATTGATTTACTCAGCTATCGATCTTCCCACCTGCCGAACTTCCTACCCAATAATCGGCAAGTCAACTTGAAGATTCCCCTATAGCGATTTTCCTGACAAAAATCTCACCAACCTTGTACTTGAAAAAGACATTCTCTGAAACACCTGAAAGGTATGTTTGTCCTCTTGATGTAACAACTGAAGAATCATGAGAAAAGAGTTTCAGAGACAAGTCTTTTTCATGTATACGATGACAAGGACCTCTTCATTGTGGTTTCAATCAACTTGTCTTTGTATCTCCTCTTGACATGTGTCCCCATGCATTTAATTCATATAGGAGTATAAAAGGAAGAGTGGGTAGTCCATTCAAGATTACGCTTTCAAAAAGGAACACTTTGTGAACAAGCAAAAATCGGCAGCTTCTCAATGCAACATGACTTCTCTATCTTTGTAGTTGTGTTCTAAATTTCTAAGTGTAAGATTGCTCGAACAGATTTATTAATCTTTTATATTTCAGCAAACAATTATTTTTCTTAGTGTAATAATCGCATTGTACAACTCGAGCAGAACAACAGCCCTTATCTGCTCGATAAAGAAAAGGGAATTCCCACCGTTTTGCCTTCGATGAAAGCCTTCATGTCAGTCCCCTTTTCACAATGTTCGTGCAGTTGCTCACGAATTCAAGTTTTGAACACCCCCCCTTCCCCTATACCTGGCTGCTTCTCGCTCACCAAAGCGTACTTCTTGTTTTTCATATCAGGTTTTTAGATGTTGAAATTTATCTTGATGGTGGTGGTTTGGCAATACCATCAAAGAAGGAAATACTGCATGCAATTAAGACAGGGCTATGACGATGATATATATATATCTGTTAGTTGGAGTTTAAAGATTGAGAAAAACGTTGTTTTAATATCAGTTCAGAGTTGCTCTAAATATTTATACAATAATTCTTTTTTTTTAAATTATTTATTAGTTTTGTAGAAAATAAGTATAAAGAATACTATGAAAGACAGATATGTG